ATTCTTACCGAGCTACAGTCCCTTTTCGATAAGTTTGAGGGGCGACAGAGTGCAAAGATGGAACAACTTATCACTAGTGTGAACCTAGTGAAATCCCAGAATGAAGAAATGCAAAACTCAATTGAATTCATGTCTAAGAAGTACGATGACTTTGTGACTCAAATCGACGAATTACGGCAGGAGAATACACATTATAAAAGGCGTATTACTGACTTGGAGAACAAAATGGAAGCAATGGAACGTAACCACAGATCTTCCATAATAGAAATCAAAAATATACCGTCACAACCATCAGAAAATCCAGAAATCCTCTCAAAGATTGTCAAGCGTATTGGAGATGAAATAGGACATAAAATAACTGACTCTGCTATAAATGAGGTGTATCGTCAAAAAACAAAACAAGGCAATAGTCATCTTATTGTACATCTCAACTCGTCGTCCTTGAAGGATCATGTCATCAAGAAATGTAGGCAATATAACAGGGAGAATAAAATTAATAAAAGACCACAATTAAACACTGGACATCTAAACCTGATTGCCCACCCAAATCCTCATCTACCAATTTATATTGATGAATCACTTACGGGAAAGGCAAGGAGACTACGATTTTTAGCTAAGGACTTTGCGGCAAAATATGGTTACTATGGAGCGTGGACTGCCTATGGCAAAGTTTATCTGCGAAAATCAGAAAAATCTCCAACCATCCGTATAGATGATGAGGAAGACCTTCGTAAACTCTCCGTAATATGACTATTACAGTTGAAATATTTTTATATTGCTTATCCTATGTTGACTAACCAACTCGTAATTTCATCAATGGTAAACATACTCAGATATTTATGTTATAAACACACCTTAACCTTCCACTCACACACTAGGAATAATATCCAATTTATATTAATACAATACAAATTTATATTAACAAATTTATACCAATATGCTTACTTTATCATATCAATACATTCAAAAATTTATTTTGCTTTAGTTAACAAAGACGCATGGAGTAAACCTTCACTCAACATAAATCACATATTACACAAATCAAAACTGACCCTACTGAACCAAGTTTATACCTGTATAACTATTTTGTACCTGCAAGACTTGACCGTAAAATCTCTAATTATTACAATTCGATAAATTAACAAATATTTCAGATCAAATCGATAACTTTTCGGTGGCTACCTCGTGCATTCTCCCAAGTGTAGATAATTTTCCCACAGTGACAAAGGACCGCTCACCCTACTTAAACGTAGCACATCAAAATATCCGTAGTATAACTGCAAACTTAGATGACTACTTAACATTGATGCAAAGAACAAATGTTGCTTGGGATTTAATTATTCTTTCTGAGTGTTGGCTTCCCAAAACAAACAAAATTCCAAGTATTAAAAATTATAATTATTACAAAACTAATCAAAACTTCACTCAAAATGAGGGCGTCGTAATTTATGCTATTGATACGCTAAATATTATAGTAGAAGAACCTAACATCCTGGACTGTAACTGTCTCACACTGAAGATAAATATGGACACGCTAATAATCGCAATATATAGACCATGGGGTATACATGATCCTACGACCTTCATAGAATCATTAAATCAATATTTACTTATGAACTCTAATATGAATAATATCTTCTTACTAGGTGACATCAATATTGATATAATTGAAAATAGTGTTATTTCTTCTACATATTTGGATATGTTATGCTCACACGGAATGCTCTCGGCACATAAATACCCCACACATAATAAAACATGTTTAGATCACATATTCCTAAAAACTAAACTTGAAGCCTGTTGTTATGTGTCGGTAACTACCATAACTGATCATTATTCTTCTTTTCTAGTATTAACACATCGTACACAGATTTATAAACAATCCCAAAAAATAATTTCTCGTATCGATTATGATAGGCTAGATGTTGCATTGAAATCGAGTGAGCTTAGTAGTATATACACTATTTTTGATGCAAACCAGGCTACGTCCTACTTAGTGAATGTACTAAGCAATGCAATTTTAAATAGTACGATAAAAATAAAAATTTCAAATCGTAAAATAATTTACAAGCCTTGGATCACACCGGGTGTACTCAAATGTATGAGAAATCGTGACAAATTACATATTAAATCTAAACTAAATCCTAATAACTCTATATTAAAAGTAACCTACAGCAGGTACAGAAACTTCTGTAATGCTCTTCTTAAAAAACTTAAAAGGCAGTACTACAAAAATGAAATCTCTAGTGCAGCGACGAAAAGTAATAAAAAGTTGTGGTCTGCTATCGCATTGGCAACCAATACTAATAAGAACAAATCGACTCCAACTGAACTTATCGCTTATGACCCTGTCGTCTCAATAAACAAAGTAAACGCTTTTTTCGTTAATGTTGGTAAGGTTTATTCTGACAAAATCCCTTTGTCTTTTGTGACACATAGCATGTACCGCCCTCTACGAGCACACCCGAAGTCACTGGTCTTACTGAATACGGATTGCACTGAAATCGATGCTATCATACTCAGTTTGAAATCTGATTGCTCCGTGGGTAGAGATGGCATCTCAGGAACAATTTTCAAGCGGTATAGAGTCGAGCTGACGGAGTCGATCACCTATATATGCAACCGAGCTTTGGACACTGGAACGTTCCCTGATATCCTAAAACTGGCGGAAGTACTTCCCATTTACAAGAGTGGGGACAGAGACTGTGTCAATAACTATAGGCCTATCTCAATCTTGCCCGTCATGTCCAAAATCCTGGAAAAAGTGATTAATGTACGGTTTACCAAATATTTAGAGAGTAACAGTCTGTTATCCATCTCACAATATGGATTCAGATCAGGACATTCCACTAGCCAGGCGGTTCACGAGCTAACTAATTACATAGTGACTAATTTAGATGCAAATAAAAAGGTTATCGTGATCTTCCTGGACCTGGCAAAGGCATTTGACACGGTCTCAGTTCCGCTGTTGTTACGAAAACTTGAGCTTCTGGGAGTGAGGGGGTTACAGCTGCAATTATTCCAGAGTTACATGAGAAACAGATGCCAGAGGGTGAAAATTGGACAGTGTGTTAGTGACGATCTTCCCATTCTACACGGAATCCCGCAGGGAAGTATTCTGGGACCAGTCCTCTTCCTAACTTATATAAATGACCTGTGCAACCTTGATCTAGGGGAGGGTAGAATTATTTCCTTCGCGGATGACACGGCTCTTCTTTTCAGGGGGGATTCTTGGGAAGAGGTATATAGGGAGGCTCAAGTTGGATTCAGTAGGGTATTAAACTGGCTAACTGAAAATAAACTTACTTTAAATACTGACAAAACAAAATTTCTGACCTTTATGACTAAAAAATATCACTCACAGGAACATGAAAATAATAGTATTATTGCCCATTCGTGCCGCCAAAATGCTCGTCCTTGTTCTTGCCCTACTCTCTCAAGGGCCTCCATGATCAAGTATCTAGGTGTAATTATCGACGAAACTCTTAGTTTTCGTCAACAGGTGGATGCTCTCTCGGACAGGGTGCGTAAATTAACGTATGTATTTAGGAACTTGAGACATGTAAGTGAACCTAGTACTGTTAGAATGGTTTACCTAGCACTCTGCCAACCACTTTTGACTTATTGTGTCTCAGTATGGGGTGGCGCATCCACTTCTATCCTTCTACCGCTGGAGAGAGCTCAGCGACTGATACTGAAGGTTAGCCTTTTCTTACCGCGACTACACCCAACTAGTGATCTGTACAAGGCGGCTAATGTCCTGTCCGTACGCCAACTATTTATACAGCACGTGATCTTACTGAAACATTCCAAATTGTCTTTCGACCCGACGCACATGAACAAAAGAAGGAAATATATGGTGTGCTTCACGGGAATCTTCCGAAGTCAGTTTGCTGGGAGATTTTTTTGCTTCCTTGGGAGCTACTTATATAATAAAATAAATCGAGTTCTTAACTTGTACCCAGCCACAAAAAATGAATGCAAAACTAAGATCACAGAATGGTTGCTGAATCTCGATTATCGAGCCACGGAAGACCTCCTTTCTATTCAAGCATAGTGACATGTAATGACGTGTGTCACTGAGATAATAATATTTTTAAATTTGCTGCAATGTGGTACAAAATATTTTTGTGGTACAGGGTCATTTAATCACAGGTGTTAACACATATACTTATATACAATAAAAAAGACAACACAAACACACACACAAACACACACATACATACACACAATTACTTACACATATACACTCACATTCGCACATATTCACACCATCCGTACTCACACATTCATTATAAATTACTATTTTACTTTATTTTTATTGTTTTTCTCGGTTTAATTTCTACTTTATTCATTAAGAGTTATACGCTAAGTTCATCCAATATTTTAAATTTGTGTTTTATAATTAGATTTGCTGCAATCTTGATTTATTCTGTTAAGCTCAATCATGTCCGGAGGTGAGAGCCTGGAGATCCGTGACACAGGTCTATACCTAGTATGGACTCCAGCCTCTTACAAAGGTATTTCAGACATTTGTATATGTATATTCTCCTTAGCAGATTAGCCATAAGAATATAGTATTAATGGAACGCCTTTGTAAAGAGATAATAAAGATGATTATTATTATTATTATTATTATTATTAATTAGATGTATTCAAGAGTCCTTACCTGTTTGATGCATTTAAGTCTTTTTACTTTCAATTATAATACTTACTTATTACCTGATTCATGGGCAGCGATCTTCGTTACTAAATGAAGTTCTTAGTGTATGTTGCGATTTTACGAACGACATAAGGGCGTCTTCAAATTAGGCGCTTATAGAAGCACTGCAGCCATATATTGCATACAATATTCGGATGCGCAGCTGCTGCACTTTTGCAGACTAGATATTATATAAAAATAAGTAGTGGCGTCGTGTCACTGGAGCGCTTCTACAAGTTTCTAATTTGAAAGTAGTCCTTAGTCCCACTTTCGTTAAAACCTGTATCCGTTGTTTCAGGCAGCAAGTCCTGCTTGTACAGAATTGGAAATTATCATGTTAAATTGGATGGGCAAGTACATAAGCACTATTTTGTAATAAATATGTTTAATTTTATTAACATAGTTACAGGAACGTAAGTATGTGTATTCATCAGTGATTAAAAAGACTCAGTCTTTTAAGGCCTTTTAAAAAAACCTCGACTTTACAAGGCATTAACAACAGGCGTTAAAAATGTTTAACGCCTCACGACTAGTCTAGTCTTTGAACCCTAGGAAGTTTAAAAGACTTATAGAACTAAAACGACTGGCGCCTTATAGCCTCGGGAGTCGCGAGTCATGAGCCGTATGGCGTGATTTTATTTCTACCCACGAGATAATCATTTTACGATTAATATTACGATTACATACGTAATAAAAAAATATTTTGTGTTACAAAGGCATAACCCTTTTGACATTGTGACAATGGCAAAACAGAATTACTGTCGTTTGACATATAATGATGAATGAAACATACTATTTATGAACGTATCAATGGAGGTCCACAGTCTTTGCGTACCTCTGAATGGCTGACAAGCAAGATTTTTATGTATATATTTGTTCTATGCATTACAGTTAAATTGTATCTCACTACTGTGCACGGGTTTCTAAAGAAGTTTAAACAAAAGTATCAGGACTTAATATTAAGAAAAGTGGTTACAGACCGATACTACACAAAAAAAACAGCACTTTAAATGTTGTTTTATAATATATAAATCTAAAAATTGATTGTGTTTCATTATTTTAATGTACTCGCAGAAAATGTATCTTAAAATCTCGTACCTATTGCTTAAACGACTCTTTGAATTCTTATTTTTATTATAAGTAAATATACGCGATTATTTACTACATGCTACGTCATTTCTATTTATATACTTCGAGTTTAATAAGACATAAAATAGGTATAAGTCCATTGCAAAGAACTCAAGTCGTTTAAGTCTTTTAGTATAACGACGGAGTCTTATTAACAAAAACTCGAACCTCCAGTCTTAATTTGACAGGCGAGTCCTGTAAAATGGAATCGAGTCTTTATAAAACGCCTTAAAAGGCTGAGTCTCTTTCATCACTAGTATTCATATACTGGCATATTTATCTATTTTACAATATTTCTTTTTACAATGTTATCTCCCACATAAAAACATTTTTTTAGATAGTCGCTAATAAATGGGTTCTGCTTTTAGTATACATATACCTATATATTTATATATATATCCTCTGTGCATCCGACGCAACCTGGGCAACAATTGGCACGTACTTTACGCCTATTAGCAAAACCTTTCATCACGATGGCAAACATGTCCTTTGCATGATGCATGATTTCATCATGATGGCAATCGGTGACCCAATTTTACATACCGTGAATATAATCATACTAAAATATTTGAGACACAGATAAAGAAGACAATTTTGATGCTAAGTTCAGTAAGGGAAAGATAGCTTATTATACAATTAGACGGCCTTTTGATACTCAATGAATTTGTTTAAACACAAAAACAAAAACTGTTTTACAAATTTCATACAATCCTGTATCTACGCAATTAGTAAGTACGAACAATACTGTACGAATTTTTTTCCGGTCAATAAAGTAAGATTTTTCATTTTCAGGTAAAGCTATAGGATTACCATCGGGTTTTTTTGCATTAGAAGAGGGTAGTAAAGGTGGCGGGGTAATAGAGGTGAGTAATGACACAAACAGTACACTTAAAAATATTAAGGCCAATGTCATGTCACTATTTTATAAACGGGACGGGATGTTTTTCTGTTTTTGATTTGAAGTTGTCTCAAATTGAAAAATTGGATATTTCTCAGACTGTATAATGTGTGATTTATGTCAATTACTTTTTTAAATACATTGTATAATTTGTAGGGGTCAGCGAGCGAGTGCGTCCTCGTTTCCATGTTGGCAGCGCGCGCAAATGGCATCAAACGACTCAAGCAAATATTCCCCACGGAAAATGAAGGTGTCCTACTCTCAAAGCTTATTGCATACTGCTCCAAAGAAGCTCACTCTTGCGTTGAAAAAGCCGCAATGATATGTTTTGTCAGAATCCGCATTTTACAAACCGACATGAACAGCTCGCTTCGAGGTGAAACCTTACGAGAGGTAATTTTTTATTATTTTTCCATAAGAGCCACTAGATTTTAGATAATCATTAACGTTGAGCGAAATGGGTTTGAAGTTTTAATTGGACTACGAGCAGAGTCCCTCCCAGGTTGATAATCGGGCGGTAATTGAGAGGCTAGGGCGGCAGTGGCACGAGAGTAGACGTCGCTTCGCGCGTTTAATGACGCGCCCGTAGGATGCCGGAAATACGTGGCGAGTCGGGCGGTAATAGAGCCGCATTGTACGCCACTTTCTATGCCGTAAATACTGAAAATTCACGAGACGACCCTCTTATAAAAGAAACTCGTTTAATTGAATCCCGTCTGAAATATTATTGAAAGAATTCGATGTATTCTAATAGCGCGAGACGAAGTTAAAGCGATTAAAGCCTAAATATGCATGTCGGTATAATAAGCCTGTGGTTTTATCACATGAAAATCATAAAAATAATACGAACGTTATGAAACCAAGTAATTACAAGTGAAATAATATACGTAACTCTCCTTTTAAAGTATGAATGTTAGTGACTATTATAATTTCGTTTGTAGAAATCTTTAAACCTCTGCTGTCCTGAAAAGTTGTCATTTTGCATCATCGAGTATACTCGATGTTTTGCATAAATAAATCACTCAATCAATTAATGACCTTGTTAAATATTTATTATAATGAAGAATACAATAAGTCAATAATTAAATATCGAAGAATTTTGTCAACGAGGTAAAATTACTACTTAGTAACAATTCTAACAGTTTTCTTCATATTTATACAAATTAAAATAGTCAATTACCTTAGTCAAATTTTTAAAATATTTTAGCGCCATTACATACACAGTTTCATCGTGTGTTCATGCAATATGCTTAAACATTTCTGGTCTTCTTTTGATGAAAGTATATAATCCCGGTGCCGATATGCAGCTGTCAGTTCGCCTCAAATTACAGACAATACGTATCCATAGATGGCTCTCCTACACTTCTCTTGTGCACTGAACACGAAATAATACCTGAAGCATTTCTCCAAAACATGATGCCACGTCTCAAAGTAGAAGTAGTCACGTGGGTATGCATGGTAAGCCTGTTGAAACACTTCTCTTTCAACCATTTTGTTCTGCTTGAATAGATAATAGGACTGTTTACTAAGTGTGAAGCAAATATATATTCAATTCGAGAAGTCCGTGTCAATATACTATCCACATGTGAACCCACCACGTTTAATTTCAGTTTACCGAGAAAAATCAATGACCTCAATTTTATACTGTTTTCTTCATTTGAAACCAATTATTTAATTTTTAGTTAATTGAAGATGCTTGTCAAATTATCATTAACTTCATTCTCAATATTTGAAATTACTGTAGGTACAGCGGCCTGCACATAACATTATAGGCTGTGCAACTGACTTGAAATGTCGTTGATATACATTAAAGATGATCCCAGAATACTGACCTGGGGCACTCCATATATAACAATTTTCACGTTCGAGTAATTTCTATTCGGGTAGTCAAGTATCGGTGTTGGTGTTAAAATAGAATGTAATTGTATAATAAAAAATTATCAGAATCAGAATGTAATTGATTGAGTTTTTTCACTTAAGAATGACTTTAAAACATTATGAACATTACCTCGAACACCACGTAGCTATTCAGTTAATCAAATAGTATTTTGTGCTCAACGTGATTGAAGGCGTGATCAATGCACAAAGCTAATAAAGGCTAACTGATGTCAATTGTTGTAACTCGTTTATAAAGAATTTTTAGATTCATGTACGTATTTAGATATTATTACTTAATTCACTTTGTGTGTAGCTACGTAGTTTATTTGAACACATTATAATTAAGAACCATCGTCAGATTATAAAGATTTTATAATGTCTTTTTTGTTTATTTTAAAATGTTCAGAAAATTTTTATTCGTTTTTAGGCGATGGAAGAAGATGAGAGGGCAGGTCGAGTGCCCTTCTTCGTCGCAACAACGTTAGGCACTACGTCTTGCTGCTCCTATGACAACCTCCCTGAGATCGGACCCGTGGTGCGAAATTTCCCCTGCGTCTGGCTCCATGTGGACGCCGCATACGCCGGCAGTTCTTTCCTCTGCCCTGAACACAAACATCGACTCGCCGGTGTTGAATATGCCGACTCTTTCAATACAAACACAAATAAAATGATGCTTACCGCGTTCGACTGCTCATTGTTGTGGGTCAAGAATCGCTACCTGTTAACTTCGGCGCTCGTAGTCGACCCGCTCTATCTACAGCACTGCTATGACCACACGGCCATAGACTACCGACACTGGGGTGTGTCGCTTAGTCGTCGATTCCGATCTCTCAAACTGTGGTTTATGTTGAGGAGTTACGGCATCAGTGGCCTACAGAAATATATACGTCGGCATTGTGAGCTTGCGAAATACTTTGAAAAACTTGTAAAAAAAGACGATCGCTTCGAAGTGTGCAATGAAGTTACGGTAAGTGATATTAATTGAAATGTTCACTTTAAAGGTTGGTATTAAATAATGTATAAAGTCTGCAAATTCTTCCAGCTGGGACTGGTCTGCTTCCGCCTGGTTGGAGGGCCGGACGAAAAACCAGAGCAAGTAGATGACTTAAACAAGAAGTTGCTAACAAACATCAACGCGTCGGGAAAACTCCATATGGTCCCAGCGAATGTAATGGACCGATTTGTTATTCGTTTCTGTGTTGTACAACAGCATGCTACTCGCGAAGATATCGGTAAGTTTTTTAACGACATATACAATAATAATTACAACATAAAATATAAGAGTTAGCCTATATAGTCCCACTGCTGGGCACAGGACTCTGCTTACTATGAGAGCTTGGGTTGTAATTCCCACGCCGGGCAAATGCGGATTGGGAACTAAATAGTTTTGCTGCCGATTTGTGCTGGTTTCCTCACGATGTTTTCCTTCACCGAAAAACTCATGGTAAATTTCAAATTAAATTTCGCATATAAATTCAAAGAAACTCAGAGGTGCGAGGCCGGATTCGAACCCACTAACGACCCTCTGCTTGAGAGGTGGTAGGTCATGATTTTTTGCTATTGTTTTTCAGTGCAATTTATTTATTATGTTCAATAGTCTGTTAATTTGCAAGTACTTTATTTATTTCGCAAATGCCGTGCGTAGCTGTCATAAGAATACAAATTTACTCATTTTATAATGCAAGTTAAATTTAAGCATCTTCACAGTTTGTATTCTGTAGCAAAAAATAAACAAATAAATAAACATACAAAACAAAAAAGTATCTAGTATCTACATTGTGTCACAAGGGTAAGTAGGCGATTACGAACAGACATTTAATTGTTATAATTATTTACATTATATTTAATTTATTATATATTTATTTTATTAATTAAATAAAAAAGTCTGTCCTGTCTACTTCGAGGCTCCCAAAGCCGGCTCGGAGTAGAAATAAAACAAAAAACCCCTACCACATAAGACCGTATAGCACCGTACCTTACCGTCATCTACATGTCATGTAAAGTTTATTCATTTTAATATGTGCTGTTTGTTTTAGAAATAGCCTGGGAAATTATCACGGACTTCGCCGCTGAACTTATAGAGGGACCAGACAAGGAAAGAGTATGTTTATTATGTTTAGCTTTTTATATTGCTAGCAGGACAAGTCGTTCTAGGAAAGAACACTGTGAGCACGTTCGAGCACCAACAGTCTAGAAGTCTAATTGATTTTAAACGTTTACTAAATATAAGCGGGCAATTATTATGGTTAGTATAATATAAAACAAGTTAAAAGTTTTTCCGTACACCGCCGATTCACACTATCGCGTAAATTGATTCTCTTCGACAAATAGTAGTTACAGCAGGTAGGCGGAAAATTGTAAGCATTATATATAAAAAAAGTCGATGTACTATACCCGTGACGTGAACGTGTACTTTTAATACACAAATACATTAGGTCAAAATAAAGATATACTTATACCTGTTACAAATGTAGTGATTTAATTAATTATTACAACAAAAAATATGTTTGCAAAAGCATTTATTACGTAAGATATGTAACAATTCTACCGTCCTACATTATCAGCCGGTGTGAGATTAAGGTGAGAGGTGAGTATGTAAAACGAACACATGTTCACTGCAAAATAATGTAGAGTGTAATGTAGAATAATGTAGAGAGTAGTAACGCAGTTGCCTGTATCTTAGCTTCTAAGGCAAAGTGTATATTCACATTGCAGTCAAATGAACTAAGAAAATACTATTTACAGTTTTAAACTTTTTGATACCGTTTGGTAAAAGAATCATCACACTTATTAACGCGGCTTAATCCATTCAAAAAAGCAACACATTGCGCGTTTCGCTTCCGCTCTTTTATTATTGTATATTTCCTTTTTTTTGTATACCCAAAAAGCAAAAAAATGCAATGAATAATAAAGTCAAACTTTAAAAAATATGCAATAGTTAGTCTAGTACTATTTGCTACTATTTACTGACACTGTTAACGCTAAATATTAAACTACTAAAACACCGAACCGACTCATTCCTCCGTGGACGTGGTGTTACAAAAACGTAAAAAAGGTAAAAAAACATTTTATAGAAAAAAAACATATCTTAGGTACTATTTGGGATTGGGATATACTTCTTTGTTTTTATTTAACAGCTATAAACTATACTGTAAGGCATTTCAGGCTTACCCGTTCATTACCGGACACCCCGTATATTTGGATAATAGTAAACCCATTTTTAAAATAATTTCTATTAATAATAAATATTTTATTTTGACGCAAAGGTTATTTATTTTATAACCTGGAAAATAACTGTTTCTATGTTTACCTTTCATTTTATACGGGGCAATGGTTTGGAATATTCGCAGCTGCAATCTATCTTATATCAAGATGTGTCATACAGGTGCGCCCATAATTACATATTATAATAGTAGGTCCTTATGAATTTATTTGCCTAGTGCGTATAGTTATATATCAGCAAAAATTAGATAGTAATTACGTTTGACAAGACACACTGCAAGAACTGCTCGTTACTTTATAAAACAATGTTAATGAGGCTCGTCCACTTCATAAAGCCTCACAATAAGCCTTCGTACTTGTCGACGACTTCAATTAGGGCAAGGGCTCGCTCTTCATATAGGGTTATTTTTTTATACTTCAACAACGTCAAATTCTACATCATTTTTAATTATTCAACGACTGTGGTGTAGAAAATAGACTTTTGGTAAAAGGTAGATAAAAAAATGCTAATGGTTTTTGAAAGCTGTTGTTGTTCTTTTGAACTCTATTTTAATGATGCCACTCTCATTCCAAATTCTAGTATTGATAATTTTTATTGTTTATCTTCTTGCAAATGTCCGACTTTTATAGCTCGGGCGAATGAATTAATTAAATTTAGTAAATTTACATTGCGGCGAAACGGAATGGGATCTAAGCGTCAATTTCGCGCCACGGTAACTGCGGAATTCTCGTTCTCGAGCACACGCGAGAATTCCGCGGAATATGCGCGACGTGATGTTTAGCTCGTAACCAGTTTGTACGTTACACAATTGAGCATAAAGTTAATTACACTCCATACAATATCGTTATCGCTTCCATTAGGTTCCGCCGCAATATAAATTGAGCCATACGGTTTTTATATAGTAAAGTGTTGAACTTGTACCATAGACCACATTGACTTGTACACGTTGACAGGAGCTGAACATACAAAAGCGTCTCAAGGACCGTACTCTGGCGCACAAGCGTTCGTTCTTCGTGCGCATGGTGAGCGACCCTAAGATCTACAACCCTGCTATTAACACGCCGCCCCCCGCGTCTGCAACCCCAGCGCCTACTACTCCCGCATCGCCACCGGCTGCTATAGCTCCTGTCGCTCTAGAATCACCTACCGATTCCGAAATAACGTAAGAATGTTTTACTTTATAAAGTTGATATTTTTAGTTTTGGACTGAGAAATAGTGGTACTTACCTATGGCTTCAAAGTTTGCATCATTAGTAGAAAAAGAACGGTTCGGATCAAAATCCAACTTGTCAGAATTACACATATGTTACCATAACTACTTAACAGTGAACACCAATATAACAAAATCTACATTTAACCTGTTTTGTCATCAGCCGTCAAAATTCTTGGATCAGCTGGCCTCTTGCGTTCTTCTTCCAGAGTGTGGATCACGACCCCAACGACTTGCCTCTAAGGTATTTTAGTTTCTACACGAATATGTTACCCAATGAAACATTTCAAAAAAGTGTTTTTGTAGGTGAAAAGTATTTTTTAATAAGAGTTTCAATATGACAATAATGAACGTCTGCAAACATTTTTAGTAGCAGTAGAGCTCCTTGTGAAAGAGTTCGTCCAGGGAAGTACTGCCACTTTGCTACCTTACTTGTTTCTGCCGCCAAGCAGTAATGTGAGCATTACTGCGTTCCGGTTTTGAAGGTGCTGGTGAAATACAGGCACATGGCACTTGTCAACTTGTCTCTGGGTGACGGGCGCAGTGGCAGTGCCCCTAAGATCTTTGTTATATGAGATGATATTTATTATATATTACATATAAGTGAATTGCTTTCCTTTTAGAATATTATTTAGAAAATGAGTTTTATAATCCAACATGACAAAAAAAACTATTTTTTTATTTATTTAGAGCCTAAATATTTTATTTGTAACTAATTTATATCACAAAATTAATTATAATTAATGTTACAAAATACAATTTATTTCATTTTGGTAGTTAAGATCTTTAAAAGGGCATTTTCAGTTTCTGTACTGATTTTTTCATGTACATTTTTTCCAACAACGCACTTTCCATTTATTGTTAACTGTAGAGAACTACCAACTTCCTGCCTACCTGATAGTTTTGTGGTGAAATATTGATATAATGTAACACAATTTAACGTAATATAATTTAAAAAATATCCAAATATAGAAACTTCAACTTTTAGTATTGCATGTTTTCTGAGATGGTATTGGTCATCAATCAGTTATGTCTAATATTCATGCAAACCATCCTATTATGAACTATAAACTGCCTCTGTGGCCGAATGGTTACCCTGCATGTCTGCCACGTAGAGGTCCCAGATTCGATTCCCGGACCGAAGAAATACTTGTAATACATTTATTTCTCTTGCGAATTTGGGTGTAATTTGTGGTGCCGAGAGAAATATTTGTATGGTCTACATTTATTTCTCTCGTGAGTTTGGGTGTAATTTGTGGTTGTCTATGTGTGTCCATTGCACCTGCGACACAGGGTTTCCCTAGTGCGGGGCTATGAGTGTGTGCGTAACTAAAAATACAAAAATTATTACTTAACTACCTTAATTTTAATTGACTAATGAACTATTGACCCGAAAAAAGAGTTTCATTTGCAAAGTCTGGCAATCGCGAAAACCTAAGCACTTTATTTCTGTGATCTTTTAATATACCTTGTGCAGGAATAACACAGCTTTTCCTGGACAGATTCCGTCACCTGGACACTACGGTCAGGCTGAAGAGCCCCGCTGGACCTTCCCGCCGCGGTTCCTCGCCGAGCGCCAGCATCGAGCGCCGTGCACCTTCCCCCTCAAGCCATTGAAAAGCGTAGCTAACTCATTATCCAGGACCGTATTTATTACCTCTAAAAGTATTACCTAAATAAAATTTCCTTGAGCATTTATCGAAATTTGATTTACTTCCTCTCTTTAAAAAAAAAGATGTTATAATTTCGTATGCATTATACAGAGTGTAAAGGAATGGGTGTAAGAAAATGCATGAATTAAATGTTCTATTTGATGTGAGACATATCAGGTCTAAAGCAAGCAATTTGAATACAATGTTCAATTTTTAGAATTGATTAACTTTCATTTAAAACGAATGTGTCCCAGTACTACAAGATATCGTTATCATTTCATCTCCGCCGCGCTAGTGTGCACCGATAGTCTGTCTTTTTTGAAGACGGAATAAAATGACAGTTCATTGCGCAAAGGTGTCGCTCGCTTGCAAGAAGCTAGTGATTGCAGTCGATAAATATAATATCGACTATCGACTGAACGTTGGTTGCGCTTATGAAATAAATAGGCGAAATTGTTTCATTTGATTCAACATCGGCCCATACACGTCCAACTGCTGGGCACAGGCACACTTGAATTTTAGATCTCTGAAAATTCATTCATACATACACCAAATTTTGTAGTATATCCTCCTGAGGCCGCGGGGTCATTAAAAAGGACAAAATACTTCACTCCAATGAGACCGGCACCTTAAGAAAACTTGGAATGAGTAGTGGCCGAAGGGCCTTTATATAGTACTGAATATTGGTTCTTCGTTCGTGGGCCGACAATCGAGTATAATCAGGCGATCACGACAACCAATCATTTTGCTTGATTCCCAACGAGGTAATCGTCGATGTAACCAATAGCAGCTACACAAATATTGGTTACTTTTGCTTAATTTGTATGTGGAAACTGGAGGGATGGCAGCGCGCGGGCGAGCAGGTATGTTAAAATATTTATTTACCTGGTTTAAATAACATATTTTTACCTAAATTATGTTTGTTTTTGATGATAGATAAGTCTATTTTAATAACAATATGTTATTTATGTCTTAAATACCAAAACTAGACTATAATAACCGTTTTTGTAAATTTTTTCTTTATAAAGGTCATTCGGTTCTAGTATATGTTTTTTTGCAAAATATTGTTTTCTGCAATCACATGAACTATGTTATTTTCAGGGTTGAGAGACGAAGAACTTGTGGATTTGCTTAATGAATCAGAGCTAGAAATTGCAAGTGATGACGAAGATGCTGATTACACGCTGCCTGTATCGAAGGAATCACGCGCATCTTCTGAAGACTCAGTCGAAGAAGATCAAGAAACTTCTGAAGAAGAAGACGATTATCAAAATTTGTCAGTAGCCAGACAAGTACGTGGTAGCGCCCAAACTCGAGGCATATCATCTAGCCGTGCCCGTTGGCAGAGTAATGCTCGGGGAAGACCTCGTTTTCGAGGTCGTGTGCGTACGCGTGGTGGGGCTCGAGGTGTAGCACGACCAAGTACGGTTCCATCTTGGTCCCGCAGAAGGTTTGATGTTCCATTACCTAATTTATCACAGCCATCGTATTTGCCTTCTATTATTCAAGATAGTTCTGATTTATTGGAATATTTTCAAGAGTACATTGATGATGATTTATTACAATTAATTGTTGAAAAGTCAAACCAAAATGAACTTTTTCGAAGAGGAAAGTTATTGCATCTGACTATAGAAGAGTTAAAAACATTTTTAGGTATTACTATGCTTATGGCTTGCATTAACTACCCACAGATAAAAATGTACTGGAACCACAAATATGCAATGGCTATCATTACTGAAGCCATGTCCCGCGATCGCTACATTCACCTGCGAAATTCTATAAAAATTGTTTTCGATCTTGACATAACACCTGAAATGCGAGGAAACGACAAATTGTGGAAGGTTCGGCCTCTGATTAATCGAGTATTGCAAGGATGTTACGCTCAAGAACGAAACCAAAAGATTTCCATCGATGAAATGATGATACCATTTACCGGCTCGTGCGCGATAAGACAATATTGTCCAGGGAAACCCCACCCCACGGGATTGAAGGCATTCGTCCTTGCGAATCCCAATGGCTTGGTCTGTGATATTTTGGTTTACCAGGGAAAAAGTACGTTATCTGAGTCGGAGTTTTCTCTTGGAGAGAGTATGGTTTTAAAATTAACTGACACATTAGTGCCAGGACACGTCATTTATTGTGATAGATATTTCACGAGTATAAAACTCATAGAAGAACTGAATCTAAGAGGATTTAAATGTGCCGGTACAATAATGAAAAATCGCATACCTAGGTACCTACGAGGAGATTTAGAAAGCGACAAATGCTTGTCTCGCAGAGGTAGAGGAAGCTTCGATGTTTTAGTGCGTGAAGGCGGAGATATTGCCATAACTAAATGGTATGATAATAAACCTGTAAATCTTCTATCAAGCATTCATGCGGCAAACAAGACAGACGAGTGTAGAAGATATGATAGAAAATTAAAAAACTATGTAATGGTACAAAGGCCAGAAGTGGTGAAAGAGTACAACTCCAATATGGGGGGCGTAGACCTCACTGATAGATTTCTTTCTGTCTGTCCAGCACGATCGCGTACTCGCAAGTGGACAGTACGATTTATAAATCACATGTTTGATCTTGCAGTAGTGAATGCATGGATCAAATATAAAATTATTAACAAGGAAGAAGGAAAACCTATTAACAAAATACTAAAACTCAGAGAGTTTAAGCAAGAAATAGGAGAAAGACTGATACTAGAAAATATTTATAGGATGGAAGAAGATGCAAATGAAAATGTGGCAGAAGTGGAAACTAGGAAACGAGGAAGACCTTCTATTGTACCCCTTCCTCCAGTAGCTAAACGCTTTCATGGTGCGAACCATTTGCCTGATATGGGCTCTAAACAGAAGCGATGCCGAAATGAAGGATGCAGGAAGAAGACAACTGTAATTTGCATAAATTGTAATATGCCACTGTGTCTGACACCGACCCGAAATTGTTTTGTTGATTTTCATAGTTCCGAGTGATTTAAAAAAAACCACTGTTAGTTAAATAAGTTTAGTTAAGTTTTAAACTATACGCAAAATTTTGTTGATTGAGTCACAATTTTTTAAGTTTGTTATTATTTTCTAAAGCTAGAGAAGTTCCTACTAAATTCAAGTTAGATTTGAGATCTCTTTTGTTTTTAAATCAAGGTTTACGATTTTAAGTTTAATTACGACTGATTTGACTGATTGCAAAGCATGCAAATAAAAATAAATAAGATTATTTTGTAATAGAAGCCTATTTTTTAAATTTTCTCCTTACTTTAAAAGGTATTCTTATTTTATACTTGAATATTAAATAGGCCGAAAGTACTTTCTGAAGGACTAAAGTCAGTAGGCACAAAATATCATTACGGCCGAAAGTGCTTTGTAAAGAACAAACAATATTAAAAAAAAAAGTTCAAAAATATATTCCTCATACGATTACCATTAAGATTTGTTTCAGTCAAAACACACGAAATCCCGTTATTATAATTTTATTTGATTTTGAAAGTCTCGTCCTTACCTGTCTAAACACTTTTGTTCTATATATAGTACGTTCGGTTATAGGGACAAGTAATATTTTCGACATGTCGGCCCCAGGAGGTTAAGTATTAAAAATATAAATAGGAGACATAATTTAAACTTTTTCATTTTAATTTAATATACATAATCAAATCCGCCTGTCGATATTAAATAATATCGACAGGAGGATTTGATAATATGTATGACTAAAAATCGATTTTGATACTAATAGACCAACTCAAAATAAAAGTCAAAATAAGAATAAAGAATACAATAACGCAATTCGTAATCATTACAACGTCGTAACATTTACAATTCAGTTATTTTTGGCAAAATTTTACTACGTTCGCAAGTACTACATCGACAACTACTACAGGACTATTTAAAATTTTACGAAAACTGGCAACCTGCAAATGTCATTTTACTTCATCTTCAAAAAAAAACAGACTATTGCCCTCGTAACGAAAAAAGGCGCAACTATGCGTACTTTACACAGCAGTTGTGCCTTTTTTCGTTCCGAGGGCAGTATAGTATACGCTTAGTACACGACAAGGCCTCTGCCTTGGTTGGCCTTGATTTACGCATAACGTATGTACGAATATAACTGTTTTCGAAGTGTGGCTTATAACAATTACAAACATTGAAAGTTCTATTCCTTGTTATTAAAAGCCGTTATATTATTACGTTTAAATGAATTGTCACAAGGCTTACTTATGACTAAAATATAGAGTTTTGTATGCACATTGTGAGTCTAGTGTCAGTACTAGGATTACATCCCTCCCTCTAAGTTAAGTTTTGACACATTCTTTGATGTGTTCATTTATTGGTACATAAGCGAAGCTATCTTGGCCTAGCAGCGACTACGTCTCTCTGCCAATAGTTGATTAGTTGAGCATGCACCCAGCAGTTGATACCATTTGGTATCAACTACTGGCTGCGGCAAAGTGATGTGTGCTGGCCGTCAATGCGCTAAACTTTTCTTGAAGTAGTCCAGAATGACTCCCTCAAAATCAGTATCTTGGGTGCTTGAGCATTTTGACCAAAATCCACTGGTCCTACAGCGGAGAATAATTTCGTAATTTTATGAAATATCATAAAATCACTAACGATTAACAAAACACCAATCTTCACACAACACTCTTGCGTTAATTTATCTTTATGGAGAGTAACTAAAGAATAAGCAAAAAATTTTAATCGTATGTTCTAAAAAAGAATATTTTTTTATAAATTGGATATCTATATTTCGACGGGTTCGATCAACATAAAAAATCACATTTCAAAATAATTATCCTTACACATAAACTACAATTTAAGAACTTATGATAAATTGTGAGTTTTGAGTTCACCATCCCATCCTACAGTGTGTAAGACATTTGTTTCTTTCAAATCCCAAGCAGCACATCTGACATAATTTTGGTGGGTTACTTTGTCCTGATACATTGTCTTTGGCTTGCTAATGTCGCTAATGTTGCACACTGTTACGGCCTTGTTATCACAACATACTGCTATGTTTTGAGACCTAAAAACAATAACCCTAGGTCAATACATAGAAAAGTGGCTTTCCAGGGCACCAGTCGAATCTTAGACCTACATACAAGGTGTCTATGAAGTAGGTGCCACAACTCACATTTGCAAAAGTCCTACAACATAAATAATCGTTTTGAAATATATAATAAGCTTGTATCACTTTCAACATACATTTCATGTCACTCCCTGTGTGAATTATATTTATCATTGACCAAAAGTTTACATGAATCACTATCAATTCATAGCAATTGATGTCTAAAATAGTTTGGATAATGTCAACTGCTAGCAGACTGCCAACTAAATAGTGCAATTGCAAAAAATCACTTGGAGTTGTGATACAGTTGAAATGAAACTTCTTCCAGACTGCATCTCTTGTGGCTACGCAATTATGTGCAGTAATAAAGACAGGGCAAATATTAAGTGATTGCTGTTCTTACATTGTCATTTAATACATTTTTACTGAACTTTTAGAAACTTTTACAATTAATTGAACTAGTATATAAATGGGATCTTACTCAGATTGGACGGCGAGTCGATGGACGGCTGCAGGATATTCAGCCAGAGTATGTGCATCCCCTGTATTTCTAACATCGACTAGTCTTAACACGCCTGCTTCATCGCCATATACAACACTATTTTCAGTTACCCATTTTAGACAGCGCACGCCGCAGTCATTCGTTACTAGATCTGAAAATATTTTTTATCATTATGTACAGGGCGTGAAATGGAGTGACTATTGATAGTTTTTTGTAGAACAGTACTTTTTGACTAAAAATGTACTACTTTCTTTTTAGATATCATGGTTGTTTGTTAATTAATATACATAGAATAAAACTTTTAATGTAATTTTACAAAGAATTAAAGCTGTGAACAGCAATAAATATATGTAATATTGTTTTACACCACACTCTCTCGCACTAATTAATAATTACTATTAACTACAGAAATTTACTATTGTATAAGGCAGCAGTCACTGTTAATTTGCTAAACCATAAACATGTCTTACCTAGCACTGGTTTAACAATATTGTCATCCCACAAAGTAACATATTGGTCCAATGATGCAGTAGCAAAACTTGTGGCTGAATTAGGCCTCACGGCTACTCCACAGATTGCCCTGTTGTGAGCTGCGTTGTAATTCCTCAAGCAAATCATTTCGTGTATGTCCCAAATCTAAAATGATTAATTATAAGGTACAAATGAAAGGTATTGTGGATTGAAGAGCTCTGACATAGAACTTAAACTATTCTTAATTTGCAGTAGAAGGTATTTAATGAAAGTAATTCATTGGAAGATGCACTTCCTGTTAAAACCATCAAATACACATTACAAGTTTTTCATATGTAATAAAATCAAATCAAAATAATCTTCATTTCATAGGTAAGCATTATTACACTTGAAATCGTCACATTGGTTAAACTCTACCGCTCATTCGTAAGGCAGATTCCCCTGAAAAGAATGAGCAAGAAACTCTAGGGGTTGCTCTTTGTAAATAACATTTGTACCCATTCAACATTTACAATGTATTTTTTGTTCAGCTTTCAAACATCAAAGATTGAGACTACCTCCATGAGCAAAACTGGTTACTACCACGAATTTTTGTCATCCAAGTACGCAGAAGTTGTATAATAACCTTTAGTACAAAGTTTTTGTTTCACTATAGTTTGAAACCTCGTGAATGGCAAATTTTGTATATCAACCGGAATCTTGTTATAGAATCTTATACATTGCCCCTTAAATGAATTTGTCACTTTGTGAAGACGACTATCAAGAACAGCTGCTTTATTTTTATTCCTCCTATTAATGTTATGTCTGTCACTATTTTACATAAAGTTATTATTATTCCTCTTAACATAAATTACATTTTCATAAATGTACTGTGACGCTAGTGTAAGAATATTAATTTTCTTAAACTTATCTCTCAAAAATAGTCTGGGGCCCAGATTGAAAATTGACCTAACCGCACATTTCTGCAGGACAATTTATAATTACCCCAAAGCAAAATGCCGTATGTCATTAGACTGTGAAAGTAGCTGAAGTAAAGCAATCTAGCGATTTCGACGTCTGAAAGTGTCCGTATTTTTTTATCGCGTACACTGCAGAGCTGAGCCGTTTTGATAACTTACTTATATGTGGACCCCATTGCAATTTAGCATCTAACGTTATACCTAGCAATACAACTGTATCCACAAGATTCAATTTTTCGTTTCTAACTACAATGTTTGTAACAGTCTCTCTAACATTGGGTAATGTAAATTTCACACAATTTGTTTTTTTCAAAAAAAGTTATTTTGATTGAAAAAATAAATAACCATTTTACCTAAAGATCCACTCCCAGCTACAGATTCAGAATACAGCAATGGTTTATTAAGTCATATTTGAGGGTAATTTACGTCATCACACATTATTGAACAAAACAAGTGTAGGATGATAACTCTGACGGCAATATTCACAAATTACTAGGAATGGGTGTTACAAATCGTATATAGTTATTGAAACTATATATTGTGGCAATATCGAAAATCCGATATCGTATATCTTAGAAACTATATATCCATATTACTCCGCATCGCGTATTTTATAGCGATGCCGAGTCAAGCCGAGCGATTACCGAGTGGATACCAACACTAAATCATATATTTTCCAAACTGTATACCGATATTGCTTCTTATCACTACATATTCACTAAGTGGATATCAACGCGAAACCGTTTTTTGTACGTCTTCGAAACTGTATACTTAACTTTACTTTTGCAACTGTATACAGGGTCCGTCCCAAAAGTATTGAACATTTTTTTTGGGAGTGTTGCCGAACGGCGGGAAGCGCTCCGCTTGGCAACAGAAAGTGGTGGGGGGATCTAGCCGATACAGCGCGACCGGTCCCAGTTGGCTCCGAGCACCTGGAGCGGCAGGACGTGCGTTCGCGTAGAGCTCTAAACGACACCTCGTCGAAGTTTTTAAAAGTAGCGCGATGACGGATCCGTTAGAACAGAGGTACGCAGTGAAATTTTGTGTTCTACTCGGCAAAAATACTGTGGAAACCAACGAGATGATTAAACAGGCCTTCAAGGACAAAGCCTTGTCCGAATCCTCGGTCAGGAAGTGGCACAAGATGTTCCGTGACGGAAGGGAAGAGGTGACCGACGAAGCCCGCTGGTCCCGCAGCCTCCCTACAGTCCTGACGTCGCCCCGGCAGACTTCTTCTTGTTTCCCAGCATCAAGTCGAAGCTCAAAGGCAAGCATTGGGGCACAATTAAGGACATCCAAGAAGCTACGACGAGGGCGCTGAAGGACCTACCCGTTGACGTCTTCCAGGGGGCCTTCCGGGCATGGAAAACTCGCCTACAAAAGTGCATCGATGCTGAAGGGTGTTATTTTGAAGAGTACTAATGTATGGTACCGATAAGTTCAATAAAAGTATTTTTCCTGAAAAATGTTCGATACTTTTGGGACGGACCAGATACGTAATAGGCCCGCATTACTCTTGTAGAACTACATCCAATAATATATAGTTTCGAAATCTGATTCCGCATTTCAGTAACAGCAATGTATCAACGCAACGCGCACGCGGGCTGTATCCATGAATATATAGTTTCAGAAAATATAGTTTCGAAATCCTATTTCGAATATTGATATATAGTTTCGATATGATATTCAAAAAAAGCTATATTACACATTCCTACAAATTACTATGTTTGCCAAGAGACAGTGTCTGAGGGTCGTACTTCAGAACTCTACCAATGCCCAAGTCAGAACTTGAGTATGATTTAAAGCACTGAAAATCATACTCAAGTCCTTGCCATTAGGGTCGTATTTCCAGTGCTTGAAAACATACTCAAGTCTGCTCAAGTCACTTGAGCATTGAGTAGAGTTCTGGAATAAGACCCTGAGATACTTTCACCAAATACCACAGACAAATACTGAGATACATAAAGAAAAACAGACAGACATTCTACATAAAAAAGTGGTAATTAAAAAAAAAATTGCTATATACCTGTCTTTTACTAAATTAATAATAGGGGTTAAAGTATGAAATTGCCGATTTGTACTGAAAATCTAAATTGTTTATTTTTTAAATTTTTAACAAATTTATTTAATCAAAATAGTTGCCATTATTATCTATACATTGCTGCCATCTAATGGGAAGGTTATTAATGCCTTTGCGATAGAACTCCGACGATCTAGACTGCACAAACTGTGTGAAAGCATTTTGTACTGCCTCCTGGGAAGAAAACTTCTTGTCACGTAGATAATTGTCCAAATCACGAAAAAAATGGTAGTCCGTTGGAGCAAGGTCTGGTGAATACGGAGGATGACGAATGGTTTCTAACTGCAGTTCCTGAAGGGTCAAAATGGTTTCTCGTGCTGTGTGAGGTCTCGCGTTGTCGTGGAGCAATAATGGTGAAGATCGATTCATGAGTCGGGGCTGTTTTACTGCTAGTTTTGTCAACATGGTTCGGAGTTCGGCACAATAGACATCTGCCGTTATTGCTTGACCAGATCGGAGAAAACTATAATGAATAACACCATGCTGAGACCACCAAACTGTTACCATTACCTTTTTATTGGTAAGTTTTGCTTTAGGACACTGTTGTGGCATTTGACCTGGGGTCAGCCATTGCATTTTTCTTTTCCGGTTATCATAAAGAATCCACTTTTCATCACATGTTACAATTCGATCCAATATTCCTTCATTTCTGTACCGGTTCAACAAGGCAACACAAGTTTCAACACGCGTTTCTTTCTGCAGATCAGTCAAATCATGAGGCACCCATTTTTCGTATTTTTTTATTTTATTGATTTGACGCAAGTGAGTCAATATTGTGGGTAAGGTAACGTTAAACCATGCCGCTAATTCCTGGGTAGTTTGACTAGGATCGGCTTCCACTATCTCTCTTAATTCATCGTTATTCATCTGTGTGGGCGGTCTTCCTCGTGCCTCGTTCTTTAAGTCGAAATTTCCATCACGAAAGCGTTTAAACCAAAATCGCACGGTGCGTTCATTAATAGACCCCTCTCCAAACGCAGCATTGATATTGCGGGCTGTTTCTGCCGCGTTAGTTCCGCGTCGGAACTCGTATTCAAAAATCACTCGAATTTTCGCAGTATCCATCTTTCTTGTCTAAATTGAATAACAAAAACAATTGAAAGTCGATATTCAAATGTTTCAAATTTAAAAAAAAAAAAAATCACAGAAACCATTTGAAAAAAGTTTCATTCGAAAACCTCAAACCATGAAGATTCTATGAAAATTCAAAGAACCTATTGCAATAAAGCGGCAATTTCATACTTAAACACCTAATATTACCAACACAATAGTTCATTAAGTTAAAAATAATTTATAATGAAAAAAGAAATTGGTATAGAATATCAGTGACAGTTGGTTATGGATATAATATAAATGTTAGATACACAACATTATTCATTAAAAGTTTGCATACCTTTATATTGCCATCAGCACCAACAGTCACATACTCCTTCCCACTATCTAAACAATCAACTGCTAAAGCTGCGTCATCATGTTCAGCAACAGTTATTAGTTCACTCCATGTTTTCCAGACATCATCATTTGTTGCCCAAACACTTAGAGCACCACTGTCTTCACAGAGTAACAACTGTGAACAATAAACATTGAACATTTTTTGGTCAAGCGTGTGTCGTCCATAGAAACAAATAAATGAAATTCATTTATTTTTTAGTTCCGATTCACTCACTTTCATGTAAGGATCATTTAAGTAAGTTTTTTTTCATATTTTTTTAATAATACCAAGTGACGGGACCAGCAAGTTGTGCCGCTGGTGCAGTGTCACTCAGATCAGCTTTAAAAAGAAATTACTCAATTTTATCCATTTTGCATGAGAAACGTTTTATTAAATTTGAACAAATTCTGCTGTCTCATTTTTTTCTTCCTATACATTCCCACATATTAGCGAGCTTTACATAGACTCTTATCGCGCGTGATACAGCAATCGTGCGCGATTAAGCTCTCATGTAAAGACGTTGAAAGGAAAGGAGATAGACCACACAATTGCGCTCATCAGTCGCGCGCACACTCCAACGAACTCAAGCAATCGCCAACGAAAGATAAAAAAAATTCAAACAGGTAATCGCGCACGATTGCGCGTGCAGGCTTTCCTGTGCGCAATCCTGTTCACTCCTGATCACGTGCGATAGAATTACTGTGTAAAGTTGACAGCACTAAAAAATAGTAATAAATATTATTCATTTTTATAGACTACTTGTACTTTACCTAAAAATTGAAATTTAAAAATAAATTACCCAAAATTGTTTTCACAAAATTACTTAATGATTCCTAAGATAGTTTCCCAGTAACTCCCATACTTTCAGATTTCCCCATACTGAAGAAGTAACGAAATATGGACTGTGCTTGTAAGATAGGTATAAATAGAGTAAACAACATACAAGTGGCTGATAGAGCTTTATGGGACAAGAAAACATATTGCATGGACCCCAACTAAGCAATAAAGGGTAGGACATGATAAAAGATTACCAAATGAACTATCAACATGAGAGTATGTAGGATGAGCAGATTTATTATTTTAAACATGACATTATGAAAAGAATAAAATATATATATAATAAACATCAAAAATAAATTGCTTTTCATTATTGTTTATACATTTGTATCTATAAACGATAATGAAAAGCATTTATGAATTTGTATTCATAAAGAAAAAAGTAACAAATTCAGAAAAGGCATCCAAAATCAGGAGTTGTGAGATCAGATGTCAGGAGAAAGAAACTGCAATACTTGCTTGTGACATCACAATTTTTATTGTTTTTTTATTAGTTAACAATTCCTTTCAGTTCTCTCAGTATTGTTACTGAAATAGTTGTTACCTACCTACTACTATTAACGGAAAACAAATAATGAACTGACCTTAGTAGAATCAACCACAAAACATCCATCAGGGGTTCCACTAGTAAGATAAAAATTCTTCTTAGCTTCTTTTAAACCTTTTTGTGCTTCTGTGACATCACGGAAGACACTGGCTCCACCATTCCAATACCGCCCAGTGAGTTCTGAGCAACCTATTAGTGCACTGCCATCTATAAGTAGACAAAATGTTTTGGGTAAATAGCACTATTTATATTTTATACAGAGTTAGAGCCACATACGTACATATATTCATATGACATAAATAGTATAAGATACATTTTTTAGATATATTACCTGAATGGAGGTGAATATAATCCAAATACGAGACAGTATCAGTACCGGTGGTGTCTGTCCTGTACACCTCAGCATTGAGATGGGGAGGCACAATTTTATTGCTATTATCCATTCCTTGAATGTCTAAAAGTCTAATAACGAAGACAAAATCACGCGTAGTTTCATAAAATATAAAGAAGATTCAGTAGCCTTATTAAAATTAAACAGTATAATAATAATAATTAAACAGACAACAACCAAAACAGATTTTTATTTATAGGTTATTCACAAGCACAAAGGTTTTTTTTTTTTTTTTTATTATTGCTGGCCATGGAAACAAAGTCCTTCAGCCGAAAACATAAACGTTTAATTATATTGTTGTAAATATGGCCACCACAAAGAGGACAGGCAATTTGAGGCGGCGTGGTTGGATTGACTCGGGATTCCTTAGAACGGGCCGATACGGGTATTTTAGTTCGAGATTCGTATAATTTCGCGTTTTAATCTTCGATTAAGGCACAATAGCACTATCCTATTCCACTTTAAACTAGATTTCACAAAATAATTGAAAGTCAAAATAAGGCCCAGAGCTAATCTCTCACAAAGGTTATTGTTGTTCTTGTTTTCATTCTTTCTGTAGAGGACCAGGCAAAGTATTCAAACCATACAGCCAAGTCTATTCTTGCTTGACATTTAGTCAAGGCAATATTTTGTGCACTTACGACTATTTTGTTAGCTGTAAAACATAGTATGCATTAAAAAAGTGAATGAAACTACAAACTACAATTGATGTTTTAAATTTTGAATAATAAATACAGGTTGTCCTAATACATAAATATGACAAAGAATTTCAAAGAAGATTATTGACCGCCAATATTTTTATTAAAACATCCATTCCATCCCATTACACCACTTCCGTTCACAGACGTTCACTCTGAAAACTTGGAAATGAAACGTTAATGTCATAGTCCTACGTCATAGTCAAACAAAGGTCAAGTCAATTTGTTTTTGCCTTAGAGGATGGAAAAAAATATTTGCAACTTGCGGGTGAAAAAGGCGGGAACTTTCGAGGCGGGAAGTTCGATAATTTTTGCCAATTTTGAAATAAATTTTTCGGAGCTAATTTGCAAGTAAACTAGCTTGTGACTATTGCAAAACGATCGCGATAGCCTCCGATAGTGGAGGTAATAGCACAAAGTTTAGCAAGAAACGCAAAACTGCAATTGATACACCCATCTCAGATGACGAAGAAGAAAGTAAACATGCACCATTTTACAGCAAAAATTACATAAGAAGTTAACCTGAAAGCTCTCCAGGTACTATCTTTCCAGTATATATACAAAGCACCAATGAAAACATCAGGTTCGGTAACAAAGATCCAATTTATTTGAATAACATATTCAGTAGATATAACAAAGGAGTGAAAGAAATAAAACGTGTAAATGCACTGAAATACGCAATTGTTTTTGATAATCCAAAAAATGGCAAGTCGTTGCTCAAAAATACATCATTCTTATCGTCACATGAAATTAAGGCTTTTATTCCGGCTTCCAATTCAGAATGCACAGGAGTCATCAAATTCATCCCAACGGACTTAACATGCAAGCATTTATTTGATAAATTGATCAGTTCCCAGGAAATATTATCTCTCCGAAGATTCACCAAGAAGACTTCTGAAGGTATGGTCCCGTTGTAGACAGTTTCACTGACATTCACTGGTAATGCACTCCCTGCTCAAGTAAGTTACATATGGTCCGTGTACACTTCCTGTGGAAGAGTATATTAGCCCTGTATTACAATGCTACAAATGTATGGGTTTTGGACACACAACCAAATATTGCAAAAGAAATGTTGTATGTTCAATCTGTTCTCAAGAACATTCATATAAAGATTGTACCAATGTCGATAAGCCTTTATGTATCAATTGTAAAGGAGAGCATATTGCTGTGGCTAAAATATGTCCAGTAAAACAGCAAAAAAATAATTGAAAATAAAGCTAACATTACAAATAAAAACACGTTGGGTGCTTATTTCCCAGCCTTAACTCAGAAATTTGCCAAAGTAGTGAGTTCTTCTCAATCTCAACCACAAAAAAAAAACAAAGACTTATTGAGTGATATTATAAATAACGAAAAAATACTTAATGCTATTGTTAACACTTTGTTGTGTTTAAACAGTAAAGAAAATAACTTACCAATTAATTCATCTACAATTAAAGAGGCTTTCATTAAAAATTTAAGTGATAATAATGGCAAGTAGAGGTTGCTTAAAGATTGTACAACACAATATTCAGAGTTTAAAACCTAAAACAGCCCTTCTTAATCAATTTTTGCACAAATTCAATGTAGATATTTGTATTTTAAATGAAACTTGGCTAAAACCCTCAGATTTTGTTTATTTTAGAGGTTACAAATTAATTCGTAAAGACAACAGAACGCCATTTTATGTAGGAACGCAATCAAATGTTCCGAAATTCCTATTGTAAGCAATGATAGTATTCAAACCGTAGCCATAAAAGTACAAGCAACAGACAGCTCATTTACAATTTTGGGTGTGTATTGTCCACCACGTAAGGGTCGTTTTCCAATTTCTGTTTTAAGAAGCATTTTATGTTCACTGCCAGCTCCTATTTTAGTTATGGGAGATTTTAACGCACGACACACGGCTTTTGGTTCAGATAATATTAATCCTAGAGGAACAAAAATTATTGACCTCTTAGATGATTTAAATATGTGTATATTAAACACTGGTGCATCAACCACAGTCAATCGTCCTAATGAATCAGTTTCAGCTATTGATATTGCATTTAGTTCTTCAACTTTAGCCGCTTCAGCGGAATGGTCAGTATATTTTGATGATCTTTGGGCAGCCTGCACTTCCCTACTATAGTTGATTTAACCATTACAGCCGATCGATATGAATATTCACAATGTTTTCAAATATTTTTATATAAAAAAGCTGATTGGGTAGAATACACTAATAAATCTCGTTGTCTTTTTGAAGAGTTGTTAATCGAAGAAAATGTTCTTGAAGCATATGAATTTTTTTGTAAAATCCTAATTGATTTACGAAAAGAATTTATTCCAGTATATAAAATAATTAATAGTGGGCAAAAAATTCTAAAACCTGTTCCTTGGTGGAACGATATCTGCGCTAATGCGATAAACCAGAGCAAATTAGCACTTTATAATTATAGAAGATATCCAACAATGGAAAATTATGTGATTTACAAAAAAATCGATGCACTCAAAAAACTAACTATTAGAGAACAGAAAATTTTATGTTGGAAACATTTTTGCACCAGTTTCAATAGAAATACGACTATCAGTACAGTTTGGAAATTATTTATTTATTTATTTATTTATTATATCAGACAAATAAATCCATTGGTTGTTAGTACACTTACAAAATAAAACTTAATCTATGGGTTAGTAAAAATTGTCAAATTGTTTTCAAATTATTATTATCCTTCATTCGCATCCCGATCCACCAGTCTTACAAGACTATTAGATCAGGACCCGAATGAAGGATTTCATGATGGGCAGGTCATACCTATCCGGTATGACCTGTAGAATGGTGTTGGTGCTGCCCCGCAGCCTGCAGAGCAAGGATGCCGTTTTTTTGCGGATGATGGCTTCAAAGCCATCAACCCGCGCCTCAGCAAACATGGTCGATGCACTGCAGCAGCGAGGCAGCCCCAACAACATCCTGAACCCATTATTATATTGGACACGTAGGGCATTGAGCGATTTTTTAGTACAGCTGAACCACAGGCTGCTCGTGTAGAATGTTTGGCAGTAGGCTTTGAAAAGCGTGATTTTCGCTTGCCTACTGCACCGAGCAAACCTGCGTGCCAGCATGTTACTTCTCATCGCCAATGCCCTACGTTCCCTCTCTATATCGGCTTGTATATTGCTAAATTAGTTAAAGTCTTTTATAGAAAAAAATCAAGTCCAAAATCCAAAACTAACGGTTTCATAAACGATTTTTTAGATAAAATTGCATCAAATAGATCATCAGGTAATAATGACATCGAACAACTTAATGATTTATTTGAAAGTAATGACTTAAACGTTCATTTAAATTTGCCTTTCTCTGAAGAAGAATTTCATTTATCCCTAAATAATAAAAATGACACCACACCTGGTATAGATGACATTCCATATATTTTAATTAAACGTCTTCATCGCTCAGCTAAATTAGTATTGCTGAAAATTTTTAATTATCTATGGCAATGTAATGAGATACCTGATACGCGGAGAAATATTGCCGTTGTTCCTATTTTAAAATCGGATAAAGATCCAGGTTTAGCCCACTCCTATCGACCACTATCATTATCTTCATGCATGGGAAAAATATTCGAAAACATGTTAAAAAATAGATTAAAATTATATGTAGAATCAAGGTATATTATACCTCCTGATCAATTTGGACTCCATATAGGTCGTGGTACTTTAGATAGTTTGTTCAAATTTGGTGGTGACATACAAAATGCTTTCAATAATCACAGTTATTTGATTAGTGTGTTTTTAGATGTTAGTGGTGCATTTGATAATATCCATTTATTCAAATTGGTCAAAATTCTACATAGCTATAACATTCCTGGCAAAATATCTAAATGGATTTTTAATTTTTTTTATTCTCGAACAGTTTATGTTAAATTTGATCATACTTTATATGGCCCAAAGAAGGCATTTAAAGGCGTAATGCAAGGAGCAACACTATCACCTCGGATTTATATATTATACACTGCACGATTATATAAATTCCTGAAGTTGAGTAATCTATATTTTTTACAGTACGCTGATGATATTGTGTTGTACACATCTAGTAGAAATTTATTACAAGCACAAAACACTATCAATGAAGGCTTAAATTGTATGTATCAATATTATAAAACAAAGAATTGTTAGAAGTCACTATGATTATGGTTTAATAGTTTTTGGAAAATTTATGAGCCCATCCCTATTTCGAAAATTGGAAGTCATTCAAAACAAAGGTCTTCGAATCATAACTGGTACAATAAGTTCTACACCCATTAATTCTTTAGAGATAGAGGCTGGTATATATCCAATTGATGTAAAACTTCAATAACTTACAGAAAAATTCACAATGAAAGTTTTAGCCAATAGGCAATATTTTTGTTTGTTTGAAGATTGCAATTTATTACAAGGGGAACATATTAATGAGTTAAAAACATTATGTAAGTACATAGATCATAATGAGCAGTGGGTACTTAGTACTTTGGAAATCCAGTTTGTGAGTCCTGTGATCTGCAAAGAAAAACTTCTAAATAATGATGAATTTCTGTGGTATATTAGTAACAAGAAGCAACAATATCGGAATATTTACACAGATGGATCCAAAACCAAAGATAACGCTAAAGCTGCCTATTATGATTCGACTGCTAAATTTGGCCGCTGCTTTAATCTGGACAAGAATACTTCGATATTTACAGCTGAAGCTTATGCTGTATATGCGGCACTTCAATATTTATCAGACATCAATCACTCCTTTTTCCTGATCGTAACTGATTCCTTAAGTGTACTGAATTGCCTGGAGAGTCATAAAATATCTTACAAAACTAATATCTATATCCTTAAAATCAGACAATATTTATATGAAATTAAAGATAAACGTATAGAATTTATATGGGTGCCATCACATTCAGGAATAACGGGGAACGAAGTTGTGGATAGTCTGATGAAAATTAATGTACCAAACATTAATGAAATTGATCCATCATCATTTTATTATTCACCACCATCAGTTCCTATGACCGATTACTATTCAGTACTGAAAACTCGTATGTTTGATATTTGGTCACGAGATTGGGAATACACGAAACAATTGAAAGGAAAATGGTATGGAGAAATACAGAAGAATATTCCCACGAAACCCTGGTACTTTAACTTAAAATCACCATCAAAAAAATTTATAACAACCATCAACAGATTACGCTTTGGACATGGAAAATTCGCAGCTCATTTGAACAGATTAAAACTTAGAAATTCAGCTACATGTGAACATTATAATACTGATGAAGCCACTCTCGATTACTTACTTCTACATTGCCCTGCCTTCAGTGTGCAAAGACTGCTTCTTATAGATGGCCTACTAAAGATTTATAAAGAAGAAGACATCCCCCGCCTCTTGCCATCTTTACTACAGAATACGAAGACTTATGAACATATATATATATATATGTATACATTCTTTCCACCATTGAAAAGATACCTTCAAATACTTAGAAGAATATATTGAAAGAAAAACTTTTATTTAAAAGATAGGAAAAAAAATTAACGGTTTGGCTTGATGGATTTATTCCGATGCCGTAAAACTAATATTTAAAAAAAACAACTTGCGGGTCACGGCTGTACATTTATTTGTACGTACAAGTGATAATTTGCCTGAAATAGGTATTCAATAACTTTTATAAATGCACATTTAGAACTTATTATTATTAAAAATATTGACTATATTTCTTTAAGACACGTTTTTGCATTTGTAAGGTAATTGTAGTATGTTTCTTATCAACATAACCTCTCAATTAATCTGTTTAAAAAAGTATTAAAATTGTTTATAAATGAATATTTCCGGTAATTGTGTTAGAGTTTTTAAAAATTAAACATAAAAGCGTCATAAAGTTATTTTTATAAGTGTTATGCTATTTCCCTTGTCGAAAAAACGGACTAACATATACGTGTTGTGTGAACAGAAAGGTAACCACAAAGTACCACATTGTAAGCAATGGGAAAACTTGAACTACTTCAAAGTTTAACTGGACACAAAGGGATAGTCTGGAATGTGTCATGGCATCCCCAAGGCAATGTATTTGCTTCGTGTGGTGAAGATAAGACCATAAAATTATGGAGTAAAGAAGGACAGAATTGGACCATAAAAACAGTACTTGTGGATGGGCATCAGCGTACTATAAGAGAAGTAGCTTGGTCTCCCTGTGGAAACTTCCTAGCTTCGGCTAGTTTCGATGCGACTACAGCTATATGGGATAAGAAAAGTGGTGTGTATGCAGCTAAATCTTAAAGAATACTGTTTTGAAATTCACAAACATTCAAATAATTAAATAATAATGAAAGCTATGTTTTAAGGTCAGTTTGAGTGTAATGCAACACTGGAAGGTCATGAGAATGAAGTCAAAAGTGTAGCATGGTCACCTTCAGGACAACTACTGGCAACTTGTGGTCGGGACAAATCGGTTTGGGTTTGGGAAGTAGCGGGAGATGATGAGTATGAATGTGAATCTGTACTTAATGCCCACAACCAGGATGTTAAGAAAGTATGTATGGAATTTTCTACTGCAAACTATAAAAATATGTAGATACATTCCAAAGAGTATTATATAATAGTTTTGTTTTATAGGTTGCATGGCATCCTTCTTTAGACATCCTAGCTTCAGCTTCATATGACAACACAATAAAGATGTATAAAGAGGATCCAGCTGATAATGACTGGGCTTGTATAGCTACATTACAGTCGCATGAGTCCACCGTTTGGAGTTTAACATTCGACAAGACTGGAGAGCGACTTGCCTCAAGCAGTGATGACAGAACTGTAAAGATTTGGAAGGAATATAAACCAGACAATCAGGAAGGAGTAGCAGTTACAGAGAGGGAGTCTGTTTGGAAATGCGTTTGTACTTTATCAGGATATCATACAAGATGTGTTTATGATATAGCCTGGTGTCACAAAACAGGATTATTGGCAACTGCATGTGGAGATGATATTATAAGAATTTTCAAAGAAACTGAAGATTCTGACCCCAACGCACCTACTTTTGAATTAGTGTGTACTAAGCAAAATGCTCATTCTCAAGATGTGAACTGTGTGAGCTGGAATCCAACAGGAACTCAAGAATTACTTTCCTGTAGTGATGATAGTGAAATAAGAGTATGGAAATTTTCAGACCTTGATGAAGCATAATTCCATGAAAATGTAATAAATATCTTAGTAAGCTCTAATCATTGTTGTATTGCTTAGACAGTCTTAAACATTGTTTTATTCCGGAGCATATATTAAGTTTATCATTTCCTAAGTTTAAAAACTACATTAAAAATATTTTGATCGAAAAATCATATTACAAAATTGAAGACTATGTGTTAGATAAAGATGTATGGAAAGACGACATGGCTCCAGAATCCACACAAATTTGATTCAAAGTGTATTCCATAGCATTTAAGTTTATTTGAAAAGAGCAATCCCTAGAGTTTCTTGCTCGTTCTTCTCAGGGAGGTCAGCGTAATGAACGAGCAGTAGCTTAAATGTGACGATTTCAAGTGTAAATTTATTTTACCTATGGAATAAATAATCTTTGACTTTGACTTTGACTTTATATACATTATGTGGCAATATATTTTTATTATATATCTTACATTTGTTTTATTGTACATAACATTTATTTCTATCGATAATACTAATATATTTTTTATTATATCAGACCAAACAATCTTATCACATGAATTTGTTTCATAATTTACAGTGGACATATTCTGATGCTTATTGGACTAAGAAGACATTTTAGGGTAGTCGTTAAGTGTTCATACTGTACCATTACTAATATGTCAACTGGAGAAGGGGTAGGAGTGCCATTGAGTAAGATATTATCTACTTTGGAGAACTTCGCTCCTAAACTACTGGCCGAGAGCTGGGACAACACTGGATTGCTGGTAGAACCTTACACACCAAGGTATTGCTTTTAATTTTCTTATGTAGATATTACTGACACAAATTTGACTCATATTGTTTAAAGCAGTGTAAATGTTTCAGGAACATATCAAAAATCCTACTAACAAATGATTTAACAGAAGATGTGGCTCTGGAAGCATATAATAATGGATGTCAAATGATTATATCATACCATCCTCCGATATTTGCTCCTCTGAAATCTGTTGTGCAAAGGTACATGTTCAAAACACACTGTTGTATTTAATAATTACACTACTATGTAACCAAATAAATTACTTTTTATTTATTTATTATGTTTAATTTTCGTTTTTTGCAAAATGAGGCCCTGAATCCTCGTTCTCCATCCCACATTCGTACAAAACAATTATTGTCATAAATACCTAATACTCGATCAAAATAAAAGAAGCATGTTGCGAATTAACCTTCATATTTGACATCTCTTGAGTCATTGACTTTATTTGTAAATCAATGGGTTGAGTATTACTTATTTGACAGTAATTGGTTTGGATGGATGTTGGATGGAAAATCAGAGTAGACCCCCAAAACCAATTTAGAAAAGTTCATTATATCCTACCAATCAAATCAAACCCTAAACCTCTTCCACTAGTGTCCAGCCTGCTAAGCCACTGAGGTTGTATAAATAATATTTCAGTTAAATACAATGTAACATTTTCATAATTTCTGTTTCAGTACATGGAAAGAGCGTATTGTATCCTTTCTACTTGAGAACCGTATTTCTTTATATTCCCCTCATACAAGTTGGGATTGTGTACAGGGAGGAGTCAATGATTGGCTGGGTTCTAATTTTGCTGTAGCTACATCAAAACCTATTCAGCCTGGAATTGATCCGAATGTAGGTGCTGGCAGGTAATTTGGATTTTTTTATTGGCCTGTTAGTATAAATGTGTTGAAATAGTGTTCCTTCAAATTCTTTCAATTATCTTTAATTTTGACAGAATTATAATACAAATTTTATTATATACAATTTGAGTAGAAAAACTGTCATGTAATAATTGGTGCATTTATTGTAATCCTTCTCTTTAGTATTAATTGATCATTATTATCTTATTACAGATTTCTGAAATTAGAGAGTAGCATTTCTCTCTTAGAAGCCATCACGAAAGTCAAGGAACTGACGAGGCTCCAACATGTGAGATTCGCGATTGGAAAAGATAAAGTGTTAAGCGATGGTGTAAATACGGTTGCGCTGTGTGCTGGCTCTGGATCGTCCGTACTAAAGGGCGTCGCTGCTGATTTGTATTTAACTGGTAACAATTAGTGCTACTGACGTTTGCACTATCACTATTTTATTATCATAGATAAAAGTACACTCCCAGACATAATTCGAGCCACCTCGCATTTTCAAAGTTAAATGCCCTAAGCTTAAACAATGTTTGATTGATCAAAAACTATAAAGCAATTTTGAAAGTAGTGTACTAAACGTGTTTTCCATAAAAATTTGTTTAAAATTTGGTTTTGCAAAACTGGGGTAAATCTTTTTCTTCAATCATAATACCTACTTCTGTATTCTAGCCCTGATTGGCTCTGGACCTTTTGGAGGGAAAAGTGTCGTTTTTATTTTGACTTTCAATTATTTTGTGAAATCTAGTTTAAAGTGGAATAGGATAGTGCTATCGTGCCTTAATCGAAGATTAAAACACGAAATTACACGAATCTCGAACTAAAATACCCGTATCGGCCCGTTCTATGGAATCCCGAGTCAATCTAAGCACGCCGCCTCAAATTGCCTATCCTCTTTGTGGTGGCCATATTTACAACAATATAATTAAACGTTTATGTTTTCGGCTGAAGGACTTTGTTTCCATGGCCAGCAATAAATTAAAAAAAAAAATATTCTAGCCCTTTAAGACAAAAATGCGAGGTGGTCCGAATTATGTGTTCGGAAGTATATATAAGATCATGCAATCGTAATTGCAAATAAATAGACTTTAACTCTAGATTTTAGTTATTCTTTTTAAATTCATCTGAGAATATTATTTCAAGACTTTCTGAGAAAATTTTATTTTTAGCCATTGACATTGTATACCTATTAATTTTGATGACCTCCGCGGTCGAGTGGCTTGCACGACGGTTTTCACCATAGATTTATATACTAAATTTATCGTTTTCACGCTGTCGCCATCTCTAAGGTCCTGGGTTCGATCCCCGGCCAGGCCAATGTAGAAACTTTTCTATATTGCCTCCGTTCTGGATGTTTGTGGTACCGTCCTTGTTTCCGATTAAAACTATAACACGGGTGCTTCAGGTACTTTGAGATTATAGGACCGGAGCAACATATGTGATGTTGTCTAGTATTTATTATTTATATTCATTTGTTACATAATATGAATAATATTGTAATATGAAGTCGGTTAAAACTAAGTGATTATTGGGTGTGAAGCTAATGTCTGAATAATTAATTATACTTTATAAAGTTTTATGGGTTAACAACTTTAAATTTATAACCTCTTTTTACCAGCGCGTTGACCTGTAGGTCAATGCTTATACGATGAATAATAAACAGAATTGTATTGTCTGTCCATATCTTTAAATTATATGATACGTCATAGTAATTCGTAATAGACCAATTTTACAAGTTGTATCTAAATAGTTAAACTGTAATGAAATACCGTTTCAAAATATGGTTCACTATTTTTTTTTATTTGCAGGGGAAATGCTCCACCACGACGTGCTAGATGCAGCTCAGAAAGGAATATCAGTGATCCTTACAAACCACTCTGACTCGGAAAGGGGGTACTTGCGCATATTCAAGACCCACTTACAAGCCAGACTGGAAAATCAAGTGCAAGTCATTGTAAGCGACATCGATAAGGATCCTTTAACTACCGTTTAGTTTCCTTGCATTTATTAGCTACGTAAGCAAAGATTGTTGTCTGATTAATAAAACAACTTTCTAGTTCTATAAATATGTTTATTAATTTGTTACACTAATGATTAATGAAATTTTAAGAATGTTAATGTACTCCTCATAAATAGTGTGTGTGAGATCATTGTTACAATTTCACATTGAATTACGCCACAAAAGCGCAAATAGGATTCAAGTGAAGAATATAAGGTAAATCACGACGTCGAATCAGACTAGCTTTCCTTGGGCTATAATAGTTGGCAAGTTCGTTGTACATGCATTTTTTTCTTCCATTTTCTATCCACGTAATTCATCTCGTACGGATCCCAATGGTGTTCTGGAAACTGCACTGAAAGACGGTCATTTTTAATACTTTATGTTTATAGTTTTTGTTAATGTGTCAGTAGAGCATGCATGCACACGACTTACTTACGCAGGGCAATTTTTTCTGGTGCTTTGTTTTTCATTTTATGTTCTTTTGGGATGTCTGTATCCCTTTCTCTGATTGCCTTTTTCTTTTTGGAAGTACCAGATGCAGAGACTTTGCATATAGATGATACCGTTCCGTTTTTATCGTCGTAGTTTATTACGTACTCACTACGTTTGGGTGCTTTACTATCCGGTTTTGCATTCGGAACTTTGTCTATAATGATTTTTTCTCGACCTCTGGAGTTTGTGGAATGATGAGTACTTTCAGGTTTCGAGTAAGTTTTTTGCGGTGTTTTAGTAGATTCTTTTCTTCTACCAGACCTATCTTTAGATAAATTTCCTGTACGATGTTTCACATCCATATTTTCTTCAATTATTGTTTGGTGTTTTGAATCCCTCCTATCATCTTGTTTATTTTCTTCTTCGACAATCTGTTCACTGTTTTCTTTAGTCGGCCGTCGTTGAGCAGATCTACTTCTGTGTTCTTTTTTTGAAGTCTGTCTATTATTATAATCATCATCCGTTCTTTCACTTGAAGACTTTCTGCGAGGACTTGAAGAATTGTATATTTTTTCATTAGAATAGTCGGGGGTGGAAAGTTTTTCAGTTCTTTTCACTCGAGTGGTTTTCGGTAATGAATTTTCTTTCTTCTCTACACTATCTGCGTCAGCGCGCGATTCTGATGTTACTCTTTCTTTATTTTCTGACCTGGCGTGGGTACAATTGCTTCGCGATTTACGAGTTTCAGCAATTTCTGTGCGTTTGTTGCTACTTGTGTCTACTTTAACGCGTGTTTTTTTCTGTGCTTCTAACTTACGGCGTACGGAATCTGTCCTTTGAATAGTATTCTTAATTTTCCTTTCCTGTGCATTGAGATTTACATACAGTGGTTCTTTCTCTTCGGATACTTCACGTTTCGTTGTTGGCGTTCTTTTGGTGTTGGAAGTACGACCTTCAACATTGTGACTCGTTTTTGACCTGCAATTAACAAGTAACTTGTAACTGACTCCGTCTGTAAATGTAATAATTAGGAAAACTAGATAGATAGATAAAAACTTTATTGCTCACACACAAGAACAAGAATAGTACATAAACAACTTAAAACTAATGTAGGCAAAGGCGGTCTTATCGCTAAGAGCGATCTCTTCCAGACAACCTTAGAGTTAGAGGAATGCTAATCGGAGCGGGAGACGTAGTGTGCCAATTTTACAAATATAAATAAAAATATGAAAAAAAAAATTGTATAAATAAAAAAAAAAATACAAAATAATAAAATTAAATAAAGACACATAGTAATTTATAAAATATTTAAAAAATAATGATATATTATACCTACGTAGATATATGTATATATAAATATACCTAAATAAACTTATACTTACTAATACATACGTTGCAGACCAGGACCGTGATAAAAGATATTTACGCAATCCGGTTTTGAAAATAGGTAGCGACTTAGAATGTCGGATTTCAAATGGGAGATCGTTCCACAAATTTGCAGCCTTAATAGTAAAAGAATTTTTGTAATACTCGGAGCGAGTGAAAGGAGGCTTCAGTAGGTTATCCATTTTAGACCTTAGTTCACGGTTGTGATCATCCCCGAGGAAGTGAAAGCGAACCTTAAGGTATGGCGGAGTACGAGGGTCGTTTAGAACATTGTAAAGTAAGCTGAGAACGTGCTCCTCACGGCGCAACTTGATAGGGAGCCACTGAAGCCTTCTCCTAAATTCGGCCACATGATCGAACTTGCGCAATCCGTATATGAATCTGATGCAAAGATTCTGTAGACGCTGGAGTTTGCTTAACAGATCCTCGTTAAGGTCAATCAAACAGACATCAGCGTAATCAAGAATAGGTAAGAGCAACGATTGCGCAAGTTCAACCTTAGTCACAGGAAGCAGATTTTTCCAACGCCGCAATGACCCAGAGGCAGCAAACACCCTCCTACTCACCTCAGCGATATGTGGCGACCAAGACAGAGTGGAGTCAAAAAGAACGCCAAGATTTTTAACAACATTACTGTAAGGCAGAGGGAAGGAGTTGAAGAAAAGCGGGGGAATAGTGGCATTATTTAATTTGGCGATTTGCTTCGAGCCTCCAACGACGATGGCCTGCGACTTGTTAGGATTGACCGTAAGGCCATGGGTTCAACTCCAATCGTGTATAGTCGCGAGATCGTCATTAAGTTCGGCGATTAAGTTGTCCACGTCGTACACAGGGAACTGAGAATAAATCTGAAGGTCATCGGCGTACAAGTGATACTGGCAAGAAAGTAAGGGAGTAAGGGAGTTTATAAAGATGGAAAAAAGAAGAGGAGAGAGAACCCCGCCCTGAGGTACGCCTGCAGTAACGTCACAGAAGCTAGAATGCTTATTGTCAACACGAACACATTGCCGACGCCAAACGAGATAGTGGCGAAACCACTCCACTACCAAATCTGACACAAGGAAAACTAGTTCATATAGATCTGTGTACGTACCTTGGTGGAGGAGACATTTTTCCTAGAACTTGTGAACATATGTCCTGAGTTCTTGGTATTTCTATAGAATTCAACGTATTTGTTTTTGGAGGCGCAGATATACTTCGAGTAGAAAATGTTATAGTGTTTTCCTGTCGACGAATCCTTGACCTTCGCGAGTCTGTAGTTTGAGCGCGTTCCTCATTAGCTTGTTCAATAACTGGTCTTAATATTTTCTTTTCTTTAGGATCTAATAAACTGTAGTCATTTTTGGATCGCGCTCGAGGTGTGGGTACTGGAGCAAAGTTGCTCTTAACAGGAATGTTTTGATATTCAGGAGCATCTTCAGATTCCGCTTCGCTGTTACAAACACTGTTTGAAACCTTCTGTATAAGTTTCACCGATTGAAAAATATCATCAATACTATCTCGTTCAGATTGTAGTCGGTCGACATATTTGGATGTCTCCGTGATGGGCTGTCTTGGACTCTTGTCAACCCCAAAATAAGTTAAATCACTGTCTCGAAGTTGCCTTGTTTTAGCTCGCCCTGGTAAAGGAGACATTTGCAATGTTCGAAGCTTATTTATAACAAAATTCGTATTCGATTCTTGGATGTAATTGTTAGTAGAAGTACTGTCTTTGAGCTCAAAGGCAGACCTTTTGACTTTCAAGGTATCAATGATTTGTGGACCTGAAACAAAGGTAAGTACAAATTATTACCCGAATATAAATAGTATTTTAGTACAGGTGCGTAATTCATTACAACACAATTTCTTATATACCTGTGTTGGTTGTCCTAGATACATTATTTTTAATGATATCTATATCAGTATCAGTCGACGCAGTTTCAGTGCTGTACCTCCTCTCTTGCAGCTGTTTATTTATTAAAGACACAGCTGTAGGCACCTTGTTTGAAAAACTCCTGTCATCATTTTTATCGGCAACGTCGTCGTCAGAAGACCCAAATACTATATTCTCTCCTAAAAGATATGGCTTGGGTTTCGGAATTCTATTTTTGAGAATACTTTTTGTAGCTGCTGTATTCTCATCGATTTCGCTGGTTTCGTTGTTGATAGTAGGTGAAAATTCACTAGGCTTTATTTCAGGGAAATCCTTAATAGTTTCGCCAAATAATGTTATAGGTTTCTCGAAATTACCATGAATAGGAACAAAAGCACTTCGTCTCTTTCGAAAATCGTTTGATGGTGGCGGCTTTTCATCAGTTGCAATTATGTTAACCACTCCTGTTTCAGCAGCAAAGTGCAGTTCAGTCTTACAGAATCCTACTTTTTTTACTTTGCGGTCCCCGTCTTCATTTGCTTGGTTTTTTCTATATTGATACTCTTCGTTAGTTTCAACCTTAATTGGTACTGTTATTGTTACTCTCCCTTTAGATTGTAAAGCAACACTGTTTTCGAGAGGTTCTTCAACAACAACATCATGTTCTCGTCTAGGTTTTATATGATGACCTTTGTAAAATGACGAACTTGGCCTATTTTTAGAAAGCCAATCCTTAAACGTCCCTTCGTGTCTGTCTTTATGATCAATTAATTTGTCATCAGGTTCATTAACAATTTCGGTAGACTTGCAAATGCCACTATCCGTTGAGGATTCCATTGCAAGTGTATCGTTGCTGTAGGATATAGTTTCGTTCAGTGGTGATGTATCCTCAAAGCTGTAACTTTTTCTTCTATTAGTCCAGTCGTTACTTCCATTTAAAAGTGATTTATATTTAAGAGTGCTTAAAGCTACAGGTGCGTCTAGAAGAGGTGATAATCGACAACTGCCTTTTCTATTTAATGGTACGTCGCTATTTTCAGAGTCATATGAATGTTTTCTGATTACACTTCTGTGATGTCGTGAATCTAGATCGATGATGCTGGCATTATCAGTGGAAGACGATTCTTCACTTGGCATTCGTATCGAATTACTTCCTGAAGAACTTCTCCATTTCGAAGGTTCTGAAATTTCAAAATCGTCTGGTTCTGTGACTTTGTAATTATCGGTATCAGTATTGAATTCGGGGGCCGCGTCCAGAGGGGTTGAAGAGATCTCTAAAGGTTTAAGCGGTGTTGTCGGCGATTCCAACAAGTTGAAGCCAGATGAGATCACCTGAAAAAAAAAATTTGTTCAGTTGCAAGATATCAAGTAATGTAACAAAATACACGAGACGCACAGATTCGTAGTTAGTATTGTAATATGGAGGCGTACCCTTCGTGAAGAGTGCATCAGAGACGATACGGCTGGTAAACCTGGCCCCGCAGAGGAGTGATAAGCGGCACGCATGACTCGCACGCGCGCACCCGGTGCACTAGCATTTAGCACCTCCATAGCACGCGCCACGTGTCTCGTTACACCGCCTTGCGTCACCTGTACAAAACAATAACTATCCTATATAATATATATAAATATATGTAAACCATCTTCATCATCCACTACAAGCCGTACTTAAAGCGGGCATCCATCACTTACTTGAGTAACCTGCTCAAAGGTAAGGCGAGGATAGAACCTTTCATGGCTAAATAGTTTCTTCGCAAAGCAACAATATCAATTATTGACAAAATTGTATTTCTTTATGGTCATTGATTTATGAACTGCACTGGGTACACATCAGGAGTAGAGTCATTTGCCTGTCACATATAAAAAAATACACCGTTGCTATACATTACTTTTACTGATCATAGATTTGTAAAAAAAAACTTTACTGTTTATTTATTGTCGTACATTCGTATTTCAAAAAAAGTTTAAACTATTTTCTTTGTTAACCATCATTGTTAACGATGTTACAGCAAGGTGTGTTAAGTGTGTTAGAGTACTAGATAAGCAATGTAAACATTTGAAAAGCCTTTGTATGTACGTACGTTTATGTATACGTACCTCGCTCGTATTTCGCGACTGCTTTCAAGTGATTTTTAACATGAAATATTCATGAGTGAACTTTATGATGGCCTCAACAGTTATGATAACTGTTAAAGTTCTCGGTACACCATGTGAACATACTGTTAAAGTGCATAGGTACCGTACGCGGACTTTTTGCTCGATGATCGTGACGAATGTGGATTAACTACTTTTGTTGCTGATACTTGAGAATTCAAAATATACATTATTTTATGCGTTATTCATGTTGATATTTAATTAGATTGTAATGCTAATAAGCTTCGTAGATCCCGTTATTTACCAACATTACATATTTGAATAGAGTATTGTTGATAATTTATCTAAGATAAATTCTCAACTTAATGACTACGTACTTAAACAATTCTCGTTAGATTGATATAGGTCTGAATTTGAGGGCCGTATGATGTCATACATGTAACTGTGATGTCACTAGGATTTCACTGAAATATTATATTACCAAATCAATTACGATTTAAGCTTAAGAACGTGCAGCCTACGCACTTAGAATAGGTACCTAATAACTTTTATGTTTCCATTATTTCTTGAAACACTGCGTAATAGTGTAAGTTTAATTTTCAATGGGTCCTTTAGCGTTTGTAGACGTCAATGTGTGGCTTTTTGTACGACCTTAGTAGATAAAGCTGACGTTTATTGGTCGAGAGTGACGCGATCACGGGGGCGGCGATGAAATTGCGCTTGCGCTTCACACGATACGATCTTTCCAATGAACGTCTACGTTTGTAGCTCACAGTGGGAGTCAAACATATTTTAATATTTATAATGCGCATACAAATGACCGTAGAGTCTCTTTAAATGATCAATAATCTCAAACTCATACCGTCAAGTTAATGCCTACACTAAATTTAAACTAAGAAACAAATGATAGATGATGCACCTGCAAGTGAATTGTCAATATCAAGTCGAAAATAAACAAACAGAATACACATTATTATTTCCTAGAAGAGTTATGTTTTAAGTAAAAGGCGAAAACTAGCTAAAATGTGACTTGCTTCACCTTGGAAAATGTCTACAACCGGTTCAGGGTCAGTTATAACAGTGACTCACGAAGGGTTTTGTTGTCATATTGCTCTCATACAATCGATGATCACATTCGCGGAAGAACATAGGTACAAACACCTGAGACTTTTAAAATAAAAGTACCATTTTAAAAGTCTGGTAATTTTTGCCAGGGTATTTAAAATACCCTGCTAAAACGGTCTAGCCTTTTTAGCCGGGTACTTTTTTAATGCAACAGAACAAAATTCTGGTAAAAATTACCGTTAAATATTATACATATTCCTACTTTTATTCTAAATAAATTTGCAACAGTCAATTTTTGTTAATGTTAAGGTCTCAGAACAAGCTTGCATAAAATGAAACTATTGACTCACACATAGCAAACTCACGTTTCCCGACAAGGAAACTTGTATATTAACGAACTATCGTTCCAATCTTGTCTCTCACATTCCTATTCTTAGGTATCATGCCCACTTAGTGTATAGGTATCTGCAAGTTCTATATATGGTAAAGTAATTGCAATTATATGTCCAAAGCAATTAAAGTTTAATTTGTTATATCCTTAATCAATTTTCCCAGTTAGATTATGAAAAATCTTAGTTTCAATTCGTTAGGTTAGCATATAATAGCATATAATTGTTCAAAACTACCAATAACCTTTTACTGTCAGTATTATCGATCAAGGTTATCGTGAGGAGACGGTGACGTCACTCGCATGATCGAACGCTAACCAAAACCAAAAGTGAGGTCACAACCCACTGATCTGCTAGACAAAACACTGCAACGCTAACACGTATGTGTCGAGGACATAACGGTTAGCTTACGCATATAAAGAGTTTATTCGAAAATGAGACAGGTAAAACTATACTGCCTTCGTAACGAAAAAAGTACTATGCGTACTTCATACAGCAGTTGTGCCTTTTTACGTATATGTATGTATCATGTGAAGAAGAGTGAAGTTAGAGTGACGTGTAGCGGTCGACGACTTTTGAAGACATGCCGGGGGCGCCCGCGTTTTACCAACGACGTGTCTTTTCACAAACTGCAGGAAAACCCAATCGATCTGATTCATAAATTAGTTTGCCGTTATTCCAAGAGAAACCAAACAGATTAATTTTTATGTTAATGCATGCGTGTATAGTGATATTTCTTTACGTAACGTGTTTGTAAGTAACTTTGTATATAACTACTCACAGAAAAGAAGCTTAGTCGTGGAGGAATCATTATTCTTAAACCGTTTTTAAACAGTTAATCATGTTGTACTAAAATGGCCAATTTCCTAACGGTCCTGCCCGAAAAATGAGATTTGATTGTTTCATCACGTTGTGAAACAAGCGATAAAAAATAGTTGAATATTGATTCCCATTATTTGAGTCATAGGTCAAAGGCCTCGCAAAAATTACGTATGTGAATAGGTACAGTTTACGTACGCCTATAGAATAGAATGAAAAAGAAAATGTAAACCTATGAACCTTTCAATCTCCGAAGCATTCATATTAAGGATACTTATCAATTAACGACTTTTCAACTTGAATAATGAACAATACATACCAAACTCTGGCAAACATCAACGTTACTATTAACACCCGGACACACCAGCTAATGACAATTGCAAAAGTATCTTAACTCCAGTCTATGCTATTAAACCGCTGGAAAGATGGCATTAGGCAGATGATACTCGTCTGAAAATAACATAGTACAGTATAATAGCGGATGCGCTGAGCGAGAGCATTGAGCAGCCTCGCGAAGCGGCCGAGGTCTTTACGCAGGATTTCCGCCAAATGCACACGACTCGAACAATTTGAAGCCGACAACCTCTCAGGCACCAGAATAACTGCTGGTTTACTCTTATATTAGATGCAACTTTACAACTCCGCGAATAAAATCAACTAATTACCTACACCTCTGCGACGCGCTTGCGCTAATTGTCTAACCATATTACTAAAGCACAAAAGAAACGCAAATCTCTTACGTTTTGTGTCACGTTCCGGGTTCAGTAATCCTTTTTTGTACGAACAAGAAGCTCAGTACTTCAACAGAGTTATTTCGTTCATCAACATTTAACCTTATAGATTTACAAAAATTTAAAACAAAAGCATGTACCTAAAACAAACTTTTACCCGAGGTATAGGTATGGCAATGATGTTAACAAGGCTTGTCGACACTTTGAGACATCTTCAAAGCTTCAAAAAGTGTTGTGAAGTTATTGACGGCTCATGGACAACATAATCAGAGAGTGGATAAAAGAAGATTGAAGATGTTCTCGGAACGAGAGACGGATTACAATCGCTGGACCGATTAAGAATCTACATTTGATCGTTCGAAATTTTTAAAACAAAGAAGTCTTGACGTAAGTAACAACTACATATTTTTAAAATTTATTTATATTGTTAAAGATAAAGAAGTCCAAGTGATTCGTTAAATATTTAAACGTGCACGTGGATCCCATTGGCGTGGCAGCGAATATTTTATGATAATAAGTGGACGGCTACAACGTTGATGTCTCTATTGTACCTCTCCAAACCATCAGCGTTTTTAGCTTGTTGGATGTTACACAATGATATTGAATTGTACCCAATTTTGTCTCACCGTTGTTGTACCTGTACCTACGTAAAAATTGTAATTCTGAAACTTGATTGAATTGAACTGAAGCGTTATTACACTACGTACTGCTAATTACAAATGATTACATATATAAATATGCGACTGCTTATTTTTTTATTATTAAGCCGTCGCCACTCTTTCTCCGTGAAAACTTGTAAGATCGCCTGTTCTACAAATTGCCATTTGTAAGTAGACACATTTCGTGAGTACCTACTCATTCGTTTATGGGAAAAGAAAGCATTGTGAGGAAAATTTCATGTGGCTGAAGGTTTAGAAGACATCATATCCATTCTAATTGGGTTTTTGTCAGCTTAGTGGGATATGGTCTAAGGTTCAGTTTATATTGCGGTGGAACGGAATGGAAGCGACCTGGAACTTTATGGCCACTGCTGGGGAATGCTCGCGCATTCTGCGGAAGATCTTAGCTCGTATCTAGTTTGTACGTTACACAATTGGCCATAAAGTTAATTATGCTATGTACGATATCGTTTAAAATTCGCTTCCATTCCGTTCCACCGCGATATAAATTGAGTCTAAATATCGATTATAACCCCATGTCTAAACATTTTCTTTACTACCTAGAAGGGAGCCGAGGCCAGAGAGAATTATACGAATTGTTACGCGCAAACTGTAACACCTGTTTATTGATATTAATACTCACAAAATCTGCACTTTATACGAAATTAGAAGGAACTAAATTTTACCTTACAGTGATACATAAACATGGGTACGTAACTTATACCTATTAATTACGGAAGCTTTTATTTCTAGGACCTGCATACTGAACACATGAAGATGTAGTTAAGTACAACAGTAAATCTAAAAAGAATACATATCTACAATCTTTATTC